CTCTGACACTACCTTTGGCAGGAACGAGATGTCAGGTACAAGGCGGACGCCGTCTGGCAAAAAGGACAAGTAAGGCGTGTCATGTCTGAAAGCCAGTATTTCTCCAACTCGCCTTGCTGAGGTGACAGCAACCTGAAAGGCCGTCTTCCACGACAGACATTTCATATTGCAAGTCATGAGTGGCTCAAACGGTTTCCTCGTGAGCTGGCAGAGAACTAGAGGAAGGTCCCAGGTAATGACAGGAGTTTTGACAGGAGGGTAGAGGTGTAACAAACCTTTTAAAAAACGTTTTGAAAGCGGATGTGAAAACAGGGTGCATCCGAAATTGCAGCCAAATAAACTTTTAACGATTAATGGGAAAGTCCCGAGTTAGCGAGGGACAGGAGGAATTGGAAAACTTTCTCAAGACCTGCGGAAGAGGCTCGAGGGGCATCATCACGTAGGGAAGAACAGAATCATTGCCTTTTATAATGGTAGGACCTTCGCATAGCAGGTTTCCTGGCATTCAGTAGAACATTGGCTATGCAGGTCGAAAAACCTTTGACGTTATTCTCCACGCCGTCAATTTCAAGCGTGGTACGTCGTGATGTAGGAGAGGGGAGTCTGACAGGAAGAGGAGGTCCTGTACCGGAGGGAATTGGTGGTATATTCCCCCTGACAACTCGAGGACTGTCGAGAACCATGGGTGTCTCGGCCACCACGGTGCTATCAACAAGCAGTCTGCTCCGTCTCGGATGATCTTGCGTACCACTCTCAGAAGCAGGGGTAAGGGAGGGAAAAGGTACAGAAGGCCTGTGGACCAGGGAAGAAGGAGACTGTCTCCGAGCGATTGTGAGTCCCTGCCGCCTCGACTGCAGATTCACAGGGGACATTTTTTGTTGGCTCTGGTGGCGAAAACATCGACTTGGTGAGTTCCCCACCTGCGGAAGAGTGGGAAAAGATAGGATGGGTTCATCTCCCACTCGTGGAGACTGAGCCTTGCTCAACTTAAATGATCTGTCCACCAAAGTAACGAGTCTCGTATGTTGGGAGGGGGGGATAGAACGACAGTGTGAGCATTGTTCGCTGGGTTGTAATTCCGGATGAACCACAGTTGTAAACGACGCATTTTCAGTTTGGCAAAGACGAGAACCGACGTAGTTGCAGCCATAAGGCCAAGTAGTCTTTGGATTGGGAAGGCAGTGACAGAAGGTTGGATACGGATGACGGTGGCTAAGGAAATGATGTCTGCCACTCTGTCTTGAGGCAGGTAAGCCATGCATGTCGTGGAGTCTAGTATAGCACTGATGTACTTTATTCTTTGGACTGGACTCAATTGAGACTTTTCTCTCTCTCTTTTTTAAAAAATATTTATTTATCCATTTTCCATTTTCCATTTCCTTTACAAGTAAACATCTATACATTTGAGTCTAAAATTTCCATATTTTGCTAATCCAATTATACAGGCTTTTCCATCTTTCGAAGAATACAGTTTCGTCTTTCCCTTGTAAAATTAAACTTAATTTATCCATTTCCGCTACCTCCATCAATTTACTCATTATTTCCTCTCTTGTGGGGAATTTTTCTTGTTTCCAGTATCTGGCGAACTGTATCCTTGCGGTTGTTAATATGTAAGCTAACAAATATTTCTCATTTTGCTTCAAATTCTCCGGTAACATATTCAGTAATGCTATTTCGAGAGTTAGGACCAATCTAATATTCATTATTTCAAAAATCATTTTCTGTATCATTTTCCAATACCTCTCTGTTCTCGCACATCGCCACCACATATGGTAAAACATCCCAACATTTCCTTTACATTTCCAACACAAATTAGATATTGTTGGGTGGCATTTAGCTATCTTATCGGGAGACCAATACCAACGATGGAAGACTTTATATATATTTTCTTTATAATTATATGCTCTCATATACTTCAATGTTTTCCAGGTGTTTTCCCTGTGTTCTATCGTATGGCCTATATCTTGCATCCAGACTATCATCGTAGTGACACTTTCATCCAATAAAAATTCCTCTAATAAGAATCTATATATTTTCTGAATCATTTTGTCACTTGTTGACAACCATATCTTATCTAGCTGTGTTTTAGTGTCTTGAAACCCCACTACCGCATCCTTTGCATATCTAGATTTAAGCTGCATGGTCTCCCACCATGTCAATTTTATCTTATATAGTTTTAACAAAATTTCTTCTGACTTCAACATATTTTTTTCATCTAATAATGTTTGATAACTTTCTCTATCACAGGGGTTTAGAAGAGAGGGTTTTATGTACACTTCCAAGGGTGATACCCATTTTGGGGGTTTCGGATAATATTTTTCTTTAATATCATTCCACATTCCACACCCTTACCATATGTTGTCTGAAATTGGAGTGTATCTTATCTTTTCCATACCATATATAGGCATGCTACCCCATGTTTAGGTCATGTCCTTCCAAATTTAACATTCTAGTATTATCTAAAGTTATCCATTCTCTTATCCAGCTTAGAGTCACCGCTTGATAATATAACCTCCAATTTGGTAACCCAAATCCTCCTCTCTCTCTCCCTTCTTGCAATATTTTCCATTTAATTCTTGCCCTTCTTGTGTAGCAGATAATTTTTAAAATCATTTTGTCCATTTCCATAAAAACTTTAGAATTTTTCAATATGGGTATAGTCTGTGCTAGAAACAGAAATTTCAGTAATATCACAATTTTTATGGTAGCTATTCTACCTATTAAGGACAGGTAAGTCCTTCCATCTTGTTAAGTCTTTCTTAATCCCTTCCAACAGCTTATGATAATTATCTTCAAGTAGTGTGCTATTTCTATTGGATAATGTTATTCCTAGGTATTTAACTTTTTCACTATCTCCACATTGGTTTCTTTATATATATATTTCATGATTTAATTTTGATGTACAATTTTTTGTTATCATTTTAGTCTTCTTTAAGTTAATTTTTAGCTCTGCCTTTTCTCCAAATTCCTTTATAGTGTTTAATAAATATCGGCTAGATGTTGTTGGATTTTCCAATATAAATACCACATCGTCTGCGAAAGCTAGCAATTTAAATTCTTCTCCCTTTACCTTAAGTCCTTGTATTCTTTTATCTTCTCTTACCTCA